GTGTGTGTGTGTGTGAGTGTGAGATGAGCTCAGAGCTCAAATGAATGTGTCAACATGTATAGATTCAGTCAAAGACCTCTCAGAGTTGATCATAACTGATAATGCTGAATGAGTGTCGTCTTCCTCTCATATGCATTCACTGTGTGTTTAGCTGTAGTTTGTAGACAAAATGAGCTAAATCTGATGAAATCTCCCTTTGGGGACATTTGAGGACGGGAGATATAAACTCTCAATTCAGTTTTTTTTTTCGTTTCTGTCACAGAATTTAAAAAAAAAGAGTTAATTATCACTTATTTAACAATTTGGACTTTTTTCTCAGGATTGTAGGGCCCTGTGAAATCCATCGTTTTCTCAAATTCCATTGAATTTCTTTGTTAATTCCATTTTTTTTTTTTGAGTTGTGAGTTTCTGACTGTATTCGACTGGTTTGTGAGCTTTGAATATGGCTTTATTTCAGTCTCTGGAAACACAAGCACACCATCAGAAGCAGAAATGACACTGAAGCGTCTTCACAGCAGCAGATGTTCATGTTCTGATCTTTATCAGGTGCTGATGCAGCTTTAATAATTCAGGTTTGATGTGTCTTTAGCTCTGTGTTCTGCATCTGTGACATGAATTATGAATGAAATGTTTAGTATTATATTTGTGGCGTTGTGTAACTCGTTTCAGAGGTAGGACTAGGTGGATGAACCTTAATATTGAACAGGATTTAATCCTGAGCTGGGGTTTAATGCTGAGCTTTAGGTGAGAAAGTAACACGACTGATGGAGTTTAAACATGACAACACAAATACTGTAGTGTGTGTGTGTGTGTGTGTGTGTGTGTGTGTGTGTGTGTGGATACTTCCTTTGAGACTTTTTTTCTAAGGACCTTAAATCAGTGTTATTTTAGTATCAAGTTATTATATACTATAGCTTTCAATATTTTGAATTAGATTTTTTTTTATTGTTAGATTTTGTTCTCAAATGTCTATATTGTTTTATCATTAGTTTAATTTTAGAACATCAAGTTAAACTAAATGAAGAGAATTTGCCTTGCTAACTAGCTGAAATAAAATAGTTTTTTTATGGTTTTAGTTCTAGTTAACTATAATAACCCTGTCTTGAATCCAGTTAAAAAATAATAATAATTGTTTTCCTTTTTTTTTCTAAAAACCTTTAATACAGTGTACATTTTAAGAAATAAAAATGAAAAAGTGTTTTTTTCTTTTTATTAAACTTTGTGCAAGAATCTTTGAATTCCAGTGTAAATAAATACATAAATACATGATAAATACATTTTTTATTTTATTTATTTAACTTTTTGATTTTTCTTCTTAAATTCATTGAAAATATTAATAATAACAATTCACTGTTTTGTTATTAATTTACTTGTTTATTTATCTATTTTTATGCTACGTCTAAGAAGCATGAATCCAGTGAAAACTGTACCGCACGCTGTCCTTCAGTCATTATCTGGCTGCATTTCTGTGCATATGTGCAGGTTGCATTTAGCACATTTTTCTCTCCATGTTTGCGCTGTTATCTGATTTGCATGTAATCAGACGGTCAGCATACGCTTGTGGAGCAGATCAGAAGACTGTGGCATTACTGCTGCTCGTTCTTGATAGTGTCTGAGCTTCACTCCTGACTGAGACACATGAGCGTCTCACAGAAGGACATTTATCCTCTGTCTTCATCCCTCAGCAGCATGTGGAGAGTAAAGTGTGCGGTTTGATCCTTTCTGCCTCATTGTGTAAAACTCCTGACCTTTAAAACAAAGCTAATCACAGGGGTGGGATGTTCACATTCCTGCACACAGACAGATGGCGGTCTAGAGAGAGCAAAGGATCGTGGGAGAGAGACAGAGACAGGAATAGAGTAAAGAAGTCTTCTTTCAGTCTTAACTCATACTGCTGCTGTCTGATCCAGAAACACGCTTCACAGTTTAACATGCAAATTATTGTCACTCTGTAGCCCACAGCCCTGCTGCACCAGTGCTATTTTAGGATTATATATCAGTTGTTTTAGTATCATTGAGAATGTAGGTCTATTGTTTAAAGTTTTAGTAATTCTTTTGTGTTTTTTGACATTTTTATTATTGTTTCTTTAAAAATATTTCTATGGTTTCTATTCATTTATTGCATTTTTAGTTTATTTTAGTACATTAAGTTAAACTAAATGAAAATGAGAAATGTTTCATATATACACTACCGTTCAAAAGTTTGGGATCAGAAAGATTTTTAATATTTTTACTGAAGTTTCTAATGCTCATCGAGGCTGTATTTATTTGATCAAAAATACAGAAAAAAACCTGTTATTTTGTGAAATATTTTTGCAATTTAAAATAACAGTTTCTATTTTAATATACTGAAGCAGCGCAACACTTTTGAACGGCAGTGTATATATATATATATATATGTGTGTGTATATGTGTGTGTGTGTGTGTGTGTCATTTTTTTAGATGTTGTCGTTTTATATTAGGTTGTTTTTTTATATATAAATTGAATAATTTATTTTTATTTAATTTTTAGTTCAGTGTAAGTTTATTTATTTCCACTTATTTCTTAATTTTAGATCGTTTATCGCTTAATTTTAGTGCCTTAACTTAATGTATTTCAGTTATTTACCAAGGCAATAGTTCTATATATTTTAGTTCTATATAATATTTAAAATTTTCCATGAATATGGTTTTCTTTATCAGATTTACTTTATCAAAAGTGTTTTTTAACAGTATTTATTTGAGTTATCAATAATAACCCTCTGTTGCACAAAGTAAGATGAATAGCTTTGGACAAATAGTCGTAAAAGCCTGCTAAATGACTAAATGTAAAGGTAAATGAATATAAATTAGTATTAAATGTGAACTGAAGCTGTTTTATTTTTATGTTTTTATTTATTTTAATTTTAATGTCATACACTGATCAGTCTGCGCAGCGCCGCTTTAAGTCACAGACACTTACATTCTTCAGAACATTCAGGTTAACCACGCCCCTCTCTGTCTAACAGCCATATGCCCCGCCCCCTCATCAGATGGCCCCGCCCAGTCCAGGAAGCAGCAGCTGTAGTCAGAGTGCAGTGGAGCAGCTCAGCAAAACCAACCTGTACATACGAGGACTTCCTCCTGGAACCACAGACCAGGACCTCATCCAACTCTGCCAACCGTGAGTGTGTACACACACACACACACACACACACACACTTTCACACTCTGAAGGTCAACGGAAAGCCCCCCTGCATTGCCAAAATGTGCAGTATACTATGGAAGCCCATTTTATGAGTTCACATTTTACAATTCTGATTTTTTTTCCTTGCAATGCTGAGTTTACATTTTAGAATTGTTTTCTCCGCAATGGAATAAACAAAAAATACTTTTTTCTTGCAATTCTGACATTTCTCATAATTCTGAAAATGTTCTTGTAATTCTGAGTTGGTCTCACAATTCTGACTTTTTTTCTCTGAATCCCCAGTTTATATCTCGCTATTCTGACTTTTCTCGTAATTCAGAAAATGTTCTTGTAATTCTGAGTTTACATCTCACAATTCTGAATTTTTTCTTGCAATTCTGATTTTTTTTCTTATAATTATGAGTTTACATTTTAGAATTGTTTTTCTCCGCAATGGATTAAAAAATATTTTTTTTCTCATAATTAAGTCTGAGTTTACATCTTGCAATTCTGACTTTTCTCGTAATTCAGAACATTTTCTTGTAATTCTGAGTTTACATCTCACAATTCTGAATTTTTTCTTGCAATTCTGACTTTTTTTCTTATAATTAAGTCTGAGTTTACATCTCACAATTCCAACTTTTCTCGTAATTCTGAAATTTTTCTCGTAATTCTGAGTTTGCATCTCACAATTCTGACTTTTTTCTCTCAATTCTCTGTTTATATCTTGCCATTCTGACTTTTCTCGCAATTCTGACTGTTTTCTTGCAGTTCTGAGTTTACGTCTCACAGATTCTCCATTTTTTCTCACATTTTTTTATTTTATAGCTCTAGATTCAAAATTGTGTCTCACGATTCTGAGTGAAAAATTCTGTGGCAGACATAGGCTTCCATATAATATACAACCAGAGCACACTGTGTACTGTATCCCACAATGCCGTTTCCAGTGTGTCATCAAGCATGATTTCAAACATGGATGTGTTCAGTAATGCTGAGCGCTTCACTAACACACATGCTGCAGTCTGCTGGGCAGTTTTATTATGGTTCAGCGGTTTCATAGGCTCTGATGTCATGCTTCGCTATTTTTAGATCATAGAAACAGGAAGTTCTGTATGTTATGTTTGTGTAGGTAAAGTTAACTCTTCAACTTTTAATGAGACCAAGAGTGATGATACTCAGATACGCCTGCCTCACTGTCCCCACAGAACAACACACACACACACGGTTTCCCAGCGGACACAAACAGTATGTCTGTAATGAGATGTGCTTATGGCACACACACACCCCGTGAGGACAGGCTGTGTGTTTGGAGCTTAAAGGCATGTTCACACACAACAAACCCAGTCATTTGGAAATATTTTTCCTATAGAATGATGTTGATGGGTATGCTTTTTGTGTTATCATGACAGAACATTGTGATATTCACTATTATAATTTTAACAATATTTCGAATTAGCTTTTCCTTTTATACTTTAATTTAAATATTGTATTTTTTTTTATTTTAGTTATTTTATGTACTTTTGTCATTATTATTATTATTTTAGTATTGTTTATATTATTGTTTAGGTAAATGTTTTTGTATTTATTTTTTTTTTTTTTTTCAGTTTTAGTTTTGCTTTGGGTTTAGTTTTGATTTATTTTAGTGCTTCAGCATATTTCAGTTAGTTGCCAAGGCAACTTTTATGATTTTCATTTTTCTTTTCAGTATTTTTTTTTTTGTAGGTGTTTTTGTAAACAACAAAAGGTTGTTGTTTGTTTTTATTCAATGTTACTTTTAACTTGGTTAATTTTTTACTTAATTCACTTTACTTTTTTAATTTTAACTTTTACTATTAGTGTTATTTTTATCTACTATTTTCCTTTAACTTCAGTTTTTATTTCAATTAAGAAAAATGCTTTCAATAATTTTAGTTTTAGGTAACGATTGTGACTGGATTGTGAAATAATGAAATAGATCGAATTGAACACGATTGTATTTCGTGAAGAACAAGATATTTGGATTTAAAATTGTCAAAAAAGTATAAAAAGTCAATCACATTAATCATTCATAATAAAACCTGTAACATGCATTAATAAAATAAATAGGGTCAGTTTTGATTTCATGCTTTCATGCATGATTTAATGGTACAGAAGCAGAAACAGCTGCTGCAGTTGTACTAAATAAATAACTTCGGACTGTTCTGGTGCAAGAAACCTCGATCGACAAATTATTTCAGGGGAGAAATAAAATCCTATAAATGTGCAAATAAAGATGGAAATACTAACCCTACATGAGATACCTGTAAGAACTAAGGTTATTATAGTTAACTAAAATTAAAACCATTAAAAAATGTTCTTGGAAAAAAAAAAAAAAAGTTTAATCCATCTAGTTGCCATGGCAATGGTTCTCATTTTCATTTATAGTTAATACTGAAATAACTACTGTAAAACTAAATAAATTAAAATGAATAAATATATAAATGAATAAACCTATATAGGCATATTTAAAAAAAATAATAATATACTATATTAATGATAAAATTTATTTAATAAAAATGGCTAAAACTAAAATTAAAGTAATAAACAGAAAATATAGCTAAAAATGAAATGTTAACAAAAACTATAATATAACAGATATACTAAAATAACACGAATGAGAACTGCCACCACACAAAAATAATATACAAACAAAATCTCAAGTATAAACTGTATATGCACATGTGTAAACTGTATAAAAAAACTCATGATGTTTTTTAATGCTGGTTATGTTAAATTATGTTTAATGCTGGTTATGTTTATCATTTCTGTCCTCACAGCTATGGGAAAATTGTGTCTACTAAGGCCATCCTGGACAAGAACACAAACCAGTGCAAAGGTAAACACCTGTTTTATGGTTTTATTATATAATGATAAACCACTTATGTGGCAATTGAACTAGGAATGAGCTTTATCTAGATGTTTTCTGCTCGTTTTAGTTTGAATATATTTAGTGTTTGAGCTTCAGAGACAGTGACTGAAGAGCTGAAGTCTGTAAAACACATGCTGTGAGAGATGTTCATCATCGTCTGTAGGTCTCACTTATGTGTAGATGTTTATGATTGATCATCTGTCACTTTTGTTATTGAAGGGATGTTTTATCGGTTTCTTCAGCATCTCGCAGCGTGCATTTTGAGATTTTATGATGTTGTGTTCTTGCTTGAATATGTCCTGTGTGAATCAGGGTTATTATAGTTAATTAAATCCTTTAAAAAGTTGTAAATAAAATATAATTTAACTGAATATAAAATATAATTAATTTAATAACAACACAAAATATTTTTTTTTTTTTACTTTTTTATTTCAGCTACTTGCCAGGGCAAAATTTCTCATTTTCATTTAGTAAAGTAAAGTAAAATAAAAATGACAAATAACTAAATTTAGAACAAACAAAATTTAAGTGTACTGGTTCATTACTCCTGAATATATCATCTTTAATGTATTATTATTATTTATTTTTTTGCTTTTTATCATCAGAGTTTGTGAAACCTTCATTATAAGTGTTTTGGAAACAATCTTCACTCAGAAATTGCTAGTCAATTTCACAAATAATTATAAAGAAACGGCAAGCAGCACACTGCATTAAACATGGGATTTTGAAGTATAAAAGATCATGTACAACATACTCTAATAAACTTTAGTAGGTTTTATTTTCAACTTTATTATAAAATAGCATGCAGTATAGTATGATAAACATTTAAATTGCAAACTGTAGATGTCGATACATGCACTTTTTAATTAAGCAAGTGACTCTTATTTATTGTGGAGCAAATAAATACACTTTTATTCTGTACTGTGTGAAAAAATCTGCATTTTTGGCAATAAAGAAATGTTGAATATAACCTTGTAGTGCATTGCATTGATAAATACAGTATACAGTGTGCTCTAATTTTATTCTGCACATTTTGGCAAATTTTGTCTGTGCATACAGAAAATTAGCATATTGTGCACATTATACATACTGCATACTGTAGAACTAGTATGCATGCTGATAATATGCGTGACATGCATCACAGTTCCAACTAACCCGAGTTACACATTCCTGTTTCATTAACTAGCCCTTCTACAACTCTTCTGCTCAAATGTTTCACTCTTAAAACTTTCCGCTTGTATGATTTTTTTTTCCTAGTGTGTCCGTGATTTGAACTGAAGAGGGTCGTCTAACCTATTTTCTCTCTAATTAAACCTTCATCTCTCCTGGATAACGCGCTGCCGCTGACGGGTTTTAATCCAAAGTGTGTGCGTGTGCGTGTGTGTGTGTGTGTGTGCGTGCGTGCGTGCGTGTGTGTGTGTTGTACCTGTTTTTCTATTCTGGTGGGGACTTAAACCTGAATACACACAGACTCATGGGGACTCGTGTCACGATGGGGACCTAAATTGAGGTCCCCACGGGTAAACAAGCTAATAAATCACATAGAATAAAGTTTTTTGAAAATCTAAAAATGCAGAAAGTAGCAAACCAGACATGAGTGTGTGTGTGTGTGTGTGTGCGTGTGTGTGTACTCATTTAATCTGCCATGAAATGTTAATTAACACCGGTGTGACCCTTATCTGCTGATACAGCCCTGAGAATGAAGGTGTGACGGAAAATAAAAGGTGAGTGAGGGATTGTGGGTAAGAGCGGTCGCTCATAAATATCTCATAACTCATTAATCAGGTTTGTGGGTTTCCTCTCGGCTCGCGCGCTGACGGATGAGGTCAGGACAAATGGGGAAGGCTAAAGAGGAAAGTGAAGTCAAAGGGTTGTTGCCATGGAGACCAAGGGTTTAATGCAAGATTATTCCTGAGGGCCTTCAGGTGTTTCTCGAACGCTGGTGGTGTGATAGTGAAAAACACATTTAGTTTATCTAATTTTCTTTTCCTATCTTCGAAAAGTGCAGTGGAATGGATTCTGATGGGTCTTGGCCGGTCTTCCTGAAAGATTGACTGCATTTAGACATGATCCGCTCATGGATCAGGAGCCGGATTCTCCAAAATCATCTTATAGATACAACAGGCAAAACCATTATTTTTCATGCACTACACTCTTAAAAATAAAGGTTCTTTATTGGCATCAATGATTCTACGAAGAACCTTGAACATCCATGGAACCTTTCAAATGCAGAAAAGTTTCTTTATAGTCAAAAAAGGTTCTTTAGATTTTTAAAATGTTCTTCAAAAAGCTTCTTTTAGGAACTGTTCACTAAAAGGTTCTTTGGGGAACCAAAAATGGTTCTTCTATGGCATCTTTATTTTTAAAGGGGTCATAGGATGTGACATGCACTTTTACAAGTAGTTTGAACTGAAATGTGTGTTGGCAGTGTGTGTACACAACCACCCTATAATGATAAAAATCCACCCAGTGGTTGTTTTTTGATCTGGTTAAATGTTTTCCCCTTTCTCAAATCGAGCCGATCTCAGATGCCTGTCTGTGTGACGTCGCAAAGACAGGCCCCTCCCACGATAGTTTGATTGACAGTAGCGTTTCAGCACAGACTGGACTGGTGTCTTACCTTAGCTCCGCCCTGAGTGACTGTCATCAGTCCGCCATTGTTTCACCGCCGGAGCAGATGTAGACAAGAATGACTCTTAACAAGCGATTGAGGTGTTCTGTTGTTGGATGTAATAATGAACATAGCAGTCGTCATTTACTCCCGACATCTGAGCGCTGAAGACGCAGTGGATTACGTATGTTTCTGAAGGGAATGCGCCCCCGATCTACATAAATACGTTTATGTTCGCGCGAATCATTCGTGATCCAGCCTCATCTACAGAAGAAGTGAGTATAATGTTTTGTAATGAATCTTTGCAAATCGCCTTTCCTAATAATGTGCTAATTAGCAAGTTTCACGATGCATGCGGCTAAAGTAAACAGTCTCTCTGAGAGCGGCTCTGAAGAGAGGGGCGGGGCCAGCAGAGCTCATTAACATTTAAAGGAACATGCTACAAATCTGCATGCTCTGAAAAGAGCTGTTTTTGACAGGGTAAAAAAGGTGTTTTTACACTACCATTGAGACATTTTAACCAATGTTATAGACTTTTCATTAAGACCCTAAAGAATCATATCAACTTGTTGAAAATGGGCATCCGATGACCCCTTTAAAATGTTGAAATTTGTTTGAATTGGCCTTCAGCGATTCAGATGGAAACTGTGTCTATCATGTTTCTCATGGTTTTAATTATCAACATATCCATAACAGCAAGAGTGAGAGTATATCATGAGAGGACTATGTGAATGGAAATTTGAACACAGCCCTTGGGCTCCATGGCAACGGAATGTTCTAATTTGAGTGCTTTTCAACATGAAAAATTAGAAAGTAAAGGTAAGCAAAATATTTTCTGAAAACGTTTTAAAAAGACTTGCTAATTAATTAATTCATTCCTATAAAATAGGGAGCGCTTTAAACATCTTAACACAAAACATATGTTACAAAATGTGACAACAAAATCAAAGCATCAAAAGCAACAGAAAAATAAATAATACTACCGAAAGGTTGATTGATGCGAGCATAATTATTCATGTCCACAGACACAATAGTTTTTACGTTTTTTTTTTTAGTAATATTTCGATGCTTGTGATAATTTCTTAGTGCACACTCTTAAAAATAAAGGTTCTTTATTAGCATCAATGGTTCTATGAAGAACCTTGAACATTCATGGAACCTTTCAAATGCAGAAAAGTTTCTTTATAGTCAAAAAAGGTTCTTTAGATTTTTAAAATGTTCTTCAAAAAGCTTCTTTTAGGAACTGTTCACTAAAAGGTTCTTTGGGGAACCAAAAATGGTTCTTCTATGGCATCTTTATTTTTAAAGGGGTCATAGGATGTGACATGCACTTTTACAAGTAGTTTGAACTGAAATGTGTGTTGGCTGAAGACGCAGTGGATTACGTATGTTTCTGAAGGGAATGCGCCCCCGATCTACATAAATACGTTTATGTTCGCGCGAATCATTCGTGATCCAGCCTCATCTACAGAAGAAGTGAGTATAATGTTTTGTAATGAATCTTTGCAAATCGCCTTTCCTAATAATGTGCTAATTAGCAAGTTTCACGATGAATGCTGCTAAAGTAAACAGTCCCTCAGAGAGCAGCTCGGAAGAGAGGGGCGGGGCCAGCAGAGCTCATTAACATTTAAAGGAAAATGACAAAAACGGCTTGATCTGAAAAGAGCTGTTTTTGACAGGGTAAAAAAGGTGTAGTTATACACTACCATTGAGAACTTTTAACCAAACTATGTTACAGTCTTTTCATTAAGACCCTAAAGAATCATATCAACTTGAGGAAAATGGGCATCTGATGACCCCTTTAAGAGTGTAGTCAGTTTTTTTAGGTTTTAGTCTATTTGGCTTTTCATGACATGCTGTTTCAGACTAGATGAAAGAAAACATCCAAAATATACATTTATGTGTGGTTTTGGATCTATTTGCGTTTATAGATTTAAATGTCAATTTTCATCTTCAAACGTTTTATTTTGTTTTGTTTTTTTCTCCATTCAGCAGCACACACTTACACCAAAACTTAGTTTTATTCCTACCTAGAGATTTGTTCATATATAATTCACACTGATTTTATTATTGCACTTTATCTATTTGCATCTATAGATTTCAAATACAATATATATCTTTTAAAACTTTGCTCAAAATTAGTTTGTTTCTCCACTTCAGCAGCACTTACACCAAAACTTAGTTGTATTCCTCCTATCTATATTCTGAAGGTTTTTACTGTAGGGTTTTGTTTATATATCATTTGCTTGATTTTAAACAACCTTTTATTCCTAAAAACATGGTGAAAATGTATTTTTCTCTGGTTGTTGACAGTATTTTCTGATTTATGGAGTGATAAAAAGAGAAATACAAAATCCCCTCAGTAAAAAACTTTAACTCTAGTATGTCAACAAAAACAAACAAAGTCTGAACCTGGCTTTATCAAAAGTTGGGAATTAGTTTCTGGAAATGTATGCAAGTATGCAATTAGTTAATTCAAAAAATGTTCCTCAATACATTTTTTCAAAAAATTCATAAAAGTTCTCAAATACTTGGATATTTTTTTCTTCAGGACAAAAAAGGACAGGTTTTGGCGTCGTCTGTTTTTGAAGATTTGCTGATCAGATCAATGAAAATCACCTCGAAGTCTGTGCAGATTGCAGTAATAATCATAATAAAATCGCACTAAGTTTTAGTTGTGACGTGGTTTAGCTTTTGACGTCATGCTTTTTTGCTGTGCATTATAAACGAGTTATTTCTAAAGAGCCTGTCGAAAATGTTACAAAATGTTGAATACGGCAAAAACTTGTCATGCATAATCATAACCGATCAATGTTTATAGCAATGATTTGTGCACATTGCTGCACATTTGTAGTTAGTGTTTCGTTTTAATGCTTAATGTATGAAACATCCCAAAAAATCATCTTAACTTTGTGGATTTAAAACAAGTTGGATGTTATACTACTTTGATATTTGTGTAAATGTTTTTTTAAGATTATATTGTATTATTTGATAGCAGTTAAGAATGTTTTGTGACTTTGGTGAATGCATTTTTTTTTTTTTTTATCAGATTCACCCAATGAACTGTGATTGGTCGCTTTTCAAATGTTTGTTTTTGTTCTTGGTTAAATAAGTGGACTAGGCCTGATAACGCTGGTGATGTGACGCCACATGAATGTTGTGCCGTGTCTGTAGGTTATGGTTTCGTGGACTTTGACTGTCCAGCAGCAGCGCAGAAGGCCGTTTCGTCTCTGAAGGCCACCGGTGTGCAGGCGCAGATGGCAAAGGTAAGACATCTTCATCCCTTCATCATCCTCACAGCTGTTTAAACTGCGTATGACCCGATCGAGTTCAGAATATTTCAAGTTTGAGTCACTGATGAGTCTTCTCCTTCAGAGCAAGTGAATGTCTTTCATTATGTAAGAGATACATGAAGAAGTCTCTTCTGCTCACCAAGGCTGCATTTATTTGTTTAAAAATGCAGTAAAAATAATGAAATATTACAATTTCAAATAACTGTTTTCAATGTGAATATCTGTTAAAATATAATTTATTTCTGTGTTCGAAGCTGTATTTTCAGCATCATTACTCCAGTCTTCAGTGTCACATGATCTTCAGAAATCATTCTAATATGCTGATTTGCTGCTCAAGAAACATTTCTGATTATTATCAATGTTGAAAACAGTTGTGCTGCACAATATTTCTGTGGAAACTGATACGTTTTATTTTTCAGGATTCTCTGATGAATAGAAAGTCTGCATTTATTTGAAATAGAAAGATTTAGTAACATTATAAATGTATTTACTGTCACTTTTGATCATTTTAATGCATCCTTGCTGAGTAACATATTTCATTTTTTAAATAATTTTTTCAAAAAGTTTTTACATTTCCTGGACCTTTCCATGAACTTTTAAACCATCAGCGAAAGAGGCGCTTGAGCTTTAGTTAAATGTCAATGCACTTTTTTTCCTGCACATTCACACACAGACATTTGATGTGTTTGAAAACATATTTTTCATACAGCAGCGTCAGGTTCATGGGTTTGCATGAACTGATATTATAAAGTATAACATGAATGCAGTGTCCCTGGATAAAAGCTGCTTGTTTACCCTGCTGTTTTAGTGTCATTGAGATACTATTTTAGTTTTTATTAATATATTTTTTTAACTGTTTATTGAATTTTCTTCTGGGAATAGTAATATAAAACAAACAGCAACTGTGCAAATTTAGAACCCATCCCAACCCTGGTAGACTTAAAAAAAAAATAAATGAATAAAAAAATATGTATATAAAAATTAAAAATAAATAAATAGTAATAATAAAAATAAATGAATTAATAATAGATAAATAAATAGA